CTATGGTGTACCGGGTAGTTCCGTTGTGACGATATATATCTATAAAAGTTGCATATCATCCTTTAGAAGTCCAATGTAACATTGCTCTTGATAATTTTGTTTTTGCTGCAAACATAAAAAAATATGTTCGACACTGTGCAAATTCCCCAATTTTTTACCAAGCTATTGCGCACATACACACGCACTACGATCGAAATTGTGAAGATCCTAGGAAAGATTTCCCCCCTTCTCATGAAGTTTTCTTCACTAGCTTGCGCCCTCTCTCTTTCTCTCGCCGCACTTTCGCGCTCTAGCGCTCCTTGTCACCATACTCCCCTATCCCTACCAATCCCTCCCCCCAGGCCCCTCCCCCCCTCTCTCATTCTTTAGAATTCTCCCCCTTCCCCTTCGGTCTTACTACCCCATCTTCTTTACCTCGATTGTCCCCCATCATCCTACTTGCACCAAGATCAAATACGAGCATATTCGTGGCCAAGACAACCTCCTTGTTATAAGACCGCACCGTATCATGAAAATACTCTATATATGGCAGTCTTACTCTTCTTCTTTCCTTTTTTAACATTGCGTCTCCACACACGCTCTGCTCTCCCCTGCCCCCTCTATCCCCCGCCACGCCCCCCCTATCTCTCTCTCTCTCCCTCTCTCTCTCCCCCTCTGCCTCGTCCCCTTGTTTAAAACCTGCCCCCTGTCTGCCCTAACTCCTCCCCCCTACTCCAACAACTGCACCATGCCACTTTTAATGATCCTAGGATTACCAATCACCAAAACAACACCCCATGCTAACAAACTACCAAAAACCATCGCCAATACCACCATCCCGAAACAATACGAACCCCTTTGAGATGGACTTACCACCGAATATGAACTAAACTGCTCAAAGCGTCCAATATTGTATGATTTACAAAAAAAAACACAACCCCAGATACGCATGATCCATAATACAAGCCCCTCATACAGCGCCTTCACACACCAAACGTCACTATACATGGTAGGAGATTCCCGCTCTGCTCTCGATCAACGAAACATGTATTGCTAAAGACTACTCCCCTCATGTACTGCAGAAAAATTCTGTGCAAAGCACTCGTACCACGATCCACTGATTACCTTGCATGGAAGTATAAACAGAGATCGCTACCGCTAATAACCCTCGTACTCCTTAATTTCGCCCCATAAACCCGGACGTGCGAGCGGATCTCCGACCGAGACGCCCCATCTGGCAGTCGGCACAATATTACCCTCATCCTCTACCGCAGTGCAGCCACCAAAGCTCTCAAATCTTCAAGAGGATCAATAGGAATCTCCGTGTCAATCCGATGCAGGAAGAAACGCAGAGAAACTAAAGCCCCACGTAGGTAAGTGAAGATGGTCCCCACACGAAGTACCATCTGACCGTTCATGTTAATATCATAAGAACGCGTCATCGACCGACCTTCTGGAGATGTCCCCCAGGGCTCCACACCAATCAGAGAATCACGAAGATGCACGCGCTCCAAAATCAGTATCGTATCCTCAGACACGACGCCATGGTAAACCACGGAAAACTCCATCCTCCTGCTCCTCCTGGTGGAAGTCACCCACACCCGTCTAATAAACACAAGACCAACACCAATATGACTGCCTCCCACTTCCACCCACTCCACAACCAATAATAGAAGAAATCAACCCCCAAGCGCAACCTCCTACCAAGAGAATCTACAACTGCATGCGCACAACAACAAACTTTGGTACACACTATCAGAGTATCCAACACAAAAACACACTACGCAAACCTTGCAACATCCTGCACAACATCCCAAAGAAAATCCCTACTCTTTATATATGTTACCGTAACCGTGCATGCCAGAAAGCGGTCCCTGAAGTCTAACACCAACCGCAATTTTTTTCTAGTTGAACCCCGAACCAAACCAGGAAATGTATGAACAACTAAAACAAAGCAAAAAAAACTAACCTATAAACTACCACAAAATGCACGCGTATGCGACGCAACCATCCGCCCATATACGGGTTCCTCCCCCACCCCCCACACCCCTTAACCCAAAATGGCCACTACGAATGTCTAATCCCGAACGATGAAACACAAAAAATAATTCCTTTCAAATATTTGAGCTATTTCATAATGTAAATTTAAAGCACAAAATTAACAAATAAATAAATAAATCAATAATTAAATAAAAAACTAAAAATAAAAAATATATAAATTTAAAAATAAAAACCAAAAAATAAAAAATAAAAAATAATAATAATAAATATATATATATAAGAATATATATATATAATATAAAATAAAAAATAACAATAAATATATATATATATATATATAAATAATAATAGTAATAATAAAATATAGATAAATCACCCTTTTTTTAAAATTAAAAAAAAAATATATATGTAAATATAAAAATATAAAAAATTAAAAATTAAACCCCCTTTTTTTAGCACAATGGTAATGATGCCGCCACGATACACAGATAGAAAGTGACTGCACAGGAATAGTTGTCATTCAGCTATCCATTACCTGAGCTTGCCATGGGGAATGGCGTAGACAGTGGGAGAATGGAGCGCGGGTGCGATGAGATGGTGGCCGCTCTGTAGGGGCACAACCATACACCTGCCGTAACCTATTTTTAACTAATGATAACTAGGTAAACTCCTTGACAAGAACGAGAGAGAGATGGGGAAGACTAATAGGCAAAACCGCGCACCGTACATATCAGAACTTTCACCCGATCAGCGGTTTTTTTTTATTATAGATATATAACACTGTTGTGTTACGACAACGTACATAACCCTATCTGAGTGAAGAACTGGAGACGAACGAGGTGAATACATCCATAAGCATCGACTCCCGGGAAAATAGATGATAGACTTCTTGCTGCAATCTAACACTACGCAGAGCTGTTGAAAAAATGCCGACACAAGGCTCCAACCTTGATCGAGCCTACCCACTGTAGCCAAGATCCATACTTCGGATGTAGTGTTACTCGCACCTTCCTACCCTTTGGACCTTTGATACAGTATATTATAACACTGGTAAGAGAAGAATGGGCGAATTGAAACTTTGATTATGCCGTTTGCGACTCGCTGCTTTCCGGCGAGAACGCTAAACAAGTGGGTCACGGATTTTTGTGGAACTGGGTTCTCATCTTGATGATGGTCGTCGATGCATTGCCCTAATTTGGTACCTGGTGATAATAATTTGTTTGGTTGGATTGAAAATACAAGTACACTAGATTTCGTTATCTTGGTGTCATGCCTACCCATCGGTGCCCGGACAAAGGTGGATAGGGTTCGAATAGTAAATAGGTTTCTAAGAAGTTTACGTGTTTAATCATGTATATTTTCGTAGTAGCCTTGGCCCAGTTAGAGGAATCAACGGCTGAATCTTTTCCTTTAATTGGCTGGACGCTCGTTTTTTGATTGGTTGAGTATTCTGTCGAAACTAGGATGGTGATTAAGAAAGAGCTTAGCGCACTGATTCGTTGCGACTGGATAGGGCGGATTGAAACTTTTTTATACCATTTGCGACTCGTTGCTTTCCAGCGAGAACGTTAAATAGGTAGGTCACAGGTTTTCGTGGAACTGAGTTCTCATCTTGATGATGGTCGTCGATGCATTGCCCTAATTTGGTACCTGGTGATAATGATTTGTTTGGTTGGATTGAAAATACAGGTATACTAGATTTCGTTATTTTGATGTCACGCCTACCCATCGATGCCCGGACAGAGGTGGCTAGGGTTCGAATAGTAGACAGGGTTCTTAGAAGTTTACGTGTTTAATCATCTATATTTTTGAAGCAACCTTGGCCCTGTTAAAGGAATCAACGGCTGAATCTTTTCCCTTAATTGGCTGACACTCGTTTTTTGATTGGTTGAGTATTCCGTCGAAACCAGGATGGTGATTGAGAAAGAGCTTAGCGCACTGATTCGTTGTGACTGGATAGGGCGAATTGAAACTTTGTTATACCGTTTGCGACTCGTTGCTTTCCGGCGAGAACGTTAAATAGGTAGGTTACGGGTTTTTTGTGGAACTGGGTTCTCATCTTGATGATGGTCGTCGATCCATTGCCCCAATTTGGTACCTGGTGGTAATGATTTATTTGGTTGGATTGAAAATACAAGTACACTAAATTTCGTTATTCTGATGTTACGCCTACTCATCGGTGCCCGGACAGAGGTGGATAGGGTTGGAATAATAGATAGGTTTCTGAGAAGTTTACGTTTTAATCATGTATATTTTCTTATTAGCCTTGGCCTAGTTAGAGGAATCAACGGTCGAATCATCCCTTTAATTAGCTGAACGCCCGTTTTTTCGATTGGTTGAGTATTCCGTCGAAACCAGGATGGTGATTGAGATAGAGCTTAGCGCACTGATTTGTTGCGACTGGATAGCTCTGGCCGGGTGAGCCTCACCCAGCCCCGTCTGGCTGTGGTTTTTTATGAAAGCGACGCACGCCCTCGGGTCAACTAAGAATGAACCCCCTCTCAACCCCCCCTCCCCCAAAATAACAGAATGAGATATTCTTCCTTCATATGGATCCTACTATACTACATACTCCCTTTAGACAAACCCAATAAGGCAAGGATCTTCTTATTTTGAAAGTTGGATAAAACAATAATAATAATAAAAGTAACAATAAAAAATACTTAAAATATTAACTTACAATTCTCACATCTTTCTCTCTATACTTATACAAAAACCTTTTTACTTCACAAAGAAATAATGCGTACGATAAAAAAATGCCTGCCAAATTTATAATTACCCCTAATATCACGACACTAAGAAGTAGAACCAAAAAAATGTATGAACAGTCACGATTCAATAGGCCAATATAATACCTAAATATCCTATTTACTGACACTAGGGATCGCAGACCCAACAAACGTCTTTTCGTCAATACAACAGCACACACATAACTAATCTCAAGCTGCACATGACACTTCATTTACCTGAACCTGCTCCTTAGTCAGACCTAGCACTATAAATTTTTCCCAACTACTAACCTTTACTATAGCAAGTCTCCCTCCAAGAATGTCCTCACAATAAAATCCCATTACACGAAAACTCAAGAAACACAAGACCTGTGAGATGCCCAACCCCCTGAAAAAAACATCCCGACTAACACCGATCAACGATTAGCCCCACATACAAAATAAAACAACAATAACAACACAACAGACTACACATGAATATTTAATTTTTTGCAATGCCATATTAACATTAAACCAGTAACTCGCCCTTTAATTAAAATCTCGCCAAAACCCCTGACCAATCAAAAACTACCCCCTTCTACACAAACATCACATCCTAACCCACACGTTATCCATAAACCCCCCTTTTTTTTTTTTAAAACACCCTATACTAACAATGCGTTCGAATCCGTCACATGCAGGATGAATCAGAAGCCAACAAGGGATGGCATCACAAGCTGGCAGAGAAAGCCCGGCGGTTCATCCACCTGACACCTCCAAGTGTGCATGCGGAGATTGCCATGCTAGCCCTCCCGGAGCAAGTATTGAATCAAGTACATGAACCCAGCAACGCGCAAGCCCCCTTCCTCATTGAGAACCTACACTTCTCAGATTGGGCGATCATTGTTGCCAAGTGGCAAACACTCAGAGGAGAAGAGGGACCCATCATCCAAACTTATGCCAAGGACATTGCCGCCATTCTCAAGCAAGCAGCACTGCAGAACCGGGAAATGGACACGATCGTCGCAAAAACGGAGAAGGTCATCCTTGACTTGCATGGCTTCAACTCTGCGCATCTGAATGCCACAGGGGATGTCAACACATTTGACAACACTGACGAGCACAGACTACAAGTCATCGCACACCTCAACCCTTCACAAGCAGAAAAAGATTGGTATTTGAAGAGGCGGGCGGAACGACAACAACAAGCAGCCCAGCCTGCTGTCGCCACACCCACCCCACACAAAACCAACTTCTTCAGAATGACGCCAGATGCACCATTCATACCGGTCCAAACACTCAGGTGGATTGAAAGCATCAGCAGCAGATATGACAACAAGCTTTGGCTGCTTGACCCTTTCAATCACATTGACCCCATCACCATCCAAGCATATGCAACTTTTGCTAACCTGTCGGAAGCAGATCTTGCCGACTGCAGAGAAGAGGCCCAAAAAGCCACCATCTGCAAAACAGCAATCGATGCCAACTTCCCGATCCTCGGACCTCTTGACAACTCCAAATGTTCCAACTGCCACCCACTGCTCCACCAGAAGGCGGTGCAAAAACCTACTGCTGAGCTCCATGAGTTCAAGAAACTATGGAACTCCGGTAGACCTTATCTAAAGTGCAATTGCCCCATGCATGGAGGTGTGATCACATGGTTTGATCACATGCTATGGTTCTACATAGCAAACCTCGATATCTCTGAGGCTGAGGTTCCCTCTGATATGATGAGGATGATGGAACTTACTAACAAACTGCAGAATGAATGGAAAAAACCTGTTAAGCTGCAAGTCACTTTCCTCTACATGCGCAGGCACATGATGAACCTGACGCATCTGCTGGTTGCTAACCCTCAATCCACTATTGACCAACTTGCGGATAGAGAACCATACAGGGAAATGTCGCTGGCCAAGAAATTCTTGGCTACTCTGCTGCCTGCTGCACATCAAACCCAAGACCCTCCACCTTCACTCACCAAACGCAAGAACAATCCAACGCCTGACATCATCCAACGTAGTCGCAACAGGCACCCCACCAATATGTTCACCACCCCAACCCATTCCCTTCACACACACCCACGCAACCAATAGCCCACATTGAACCCACCCATGCACCTGCAAACTCTGCCCTCCCTAACAACACGCACACTCACCCTGCTGCACAACCGCCTCCACCAACTGCACAACCACAACATACTACCCCTATCATTGCACACGCACCTTCCCACTCAATGCCCAGCACAACACTGCACAATACACGAAGAGCCAAAAGAAACAACGATGCCCAAACCACAAAAAGATCGCAAAAGGGCAGATGGCAGAAACGCAAGGAAAAACTCATGGCAGAAAGAAGGGCTCAGCAGCAACAGCAGCCAAACAATGCACAACAAGCCCCGCATCAGCCACCTCTCCAAACCACCAACCTGCACAGCACAAATGCACAGCACCCAAATCAACACGAACACCTGCAAGCACCGCACCCACAACCCCGCAACTCCCAACAGCCCACTGCACTAACAACACGCAATCCTCAGCAACCCACTAGCTCACAGCCTCAATCATCACAGCACAATCTGCAGGCCCAACGGTTCCCGCAAACTGTTCTTGCAACAGCACAGCAACTCCCCGCACCCGCACCCGCCGACATTAGATCTTCACCGACACCCACACTGTCACAGAACGTACAACGGTCCTCAAGTTGGCTTTCCCCCATTCACCAATTCCTCGCACACCACGCCCAACAGCAGGCAAATCAGTCAACATCCCCCCCTCCACAAGGTTCCCGCCGTCACAACCCCATTGTCCTTGGTTCACCGTCCCCGGACACACCCCCCAGTATGATGTCGAGTGCTCGCTAATTGATGCAAACCTTGGCGACAGCTACTCGACTGACGTAGTCCAGGAAACCCGTGCGCCACAAACACTAACAAAAACACCAGGAGGACTCTTGTCAACGACTACAGCCGCAACCCACTGTCACTCACTGATCTCTGAATCTACGCAGTTACCCATCGCTCATGACACGGCTTTGCGGCTCTGGGAAACTACATAAGACGTCATGGCCGATACCCAGGAGGACAGACCTCTTCCACGATTGCATGGGATGCGAGTGTGCCGACAATACAGACCTGGCGACTACAGCAGCAGCAGCAACAAGAAAAAGAGACCTCCAACCAGCAAGTACTCCCAAGACCCGCAGAAGATCCTACTGAATGACCAAGTGGACTGCTACCACTGCAATGCTGTTAAAAGATTCAGTAACCTCAAGACTTCAGGCGACGATTCAGTTTAGCAACATAGCTCAACAAGCACAACCTCGTTGCAAGCTAAGCCAGCCCCCACTCCAAGTATGAGCATGTTTAGCAAGTTCCAGGATAGGAATAACTCACATGTCAACTATGGTCTTACTCCACTGTTCCTCTCGGTCATCCCTGAGCAAGCAGAAGTGTCCCTCTTAGACCAAAATGTGCATGACGGTATTCGATAGGATAGACGTCAACCCCTGAACTCTTATGCCTCCCCAATTCCTTATCATCTTTATTTATTAATCATCATTAGTTTTTATCCAGCTGGTTCCATGTAATAATCGCCACCAAGTAAAATTCTACCACTTGATTGGCTAAATCACAACTGTGTTCTTCAAAAATCGGCGGATTGAATCCCGAATCTGACCTCACCCTGAGGAAGCTTCTGGCCCCAAAATAAAACATGGAAACCCTGCCCTGCATGCTGCTTGAGTTTTAAATAAATATACAAGGACCATGGTCCGATAGATGGCCCAGGCGCCCAAACAGAAGGATGTTCATCTCTGATTTGTGCCATATTGAATGATATCCTTATGTTCATTTTTACCTTTTTCCTGTACTCGCATCCTAACCTCCCTGCCCTCTGCCTGAATGTGCTCATTAATAGAGAACACCCTCCACATAACCCCCCACTCTACACAATGAAGTCCTCATACCCTGGTCTCCATGCTCCTTCCAGCAATAGACGTCTCCCAGACCTTCCTGATTTTAGTGCTCTCCCGAACGCCCTCTGTCACCCTTCCACCACACCTCTTCCTCAACCATCCCTGCATACACTCTGTAGAAGTATCTCCAACCACACACTCGCACACACATCTTCCTATGCCATGAATTCCTCCAATAGGCCTCAACCAGGAACCTGAAGATTACGTGCTTACATTCTTACATATCCATCCACTGCCCCCCCTCACCAACTGCAAACTAAACATAGCTATCACTACACAGCAGCAATATCCCTAGGCTACCTTTAGATAATAAAATAAGTAGATCATTACAATAATGTTGATACCTAGGAACAGCCACACCACTACACTATCTACCTACTATTCGAGGTCTGAGCAAGGAAGCTCAGTCCCTGGTAGTAGACTACGGAGTGAGGAAAGGAATAGAATAGAAGGTGTGACCTTGAAAATACTCATCCATTTGATAAATGTTTATGTTAAAACATCTCCGTTCCTGACAATTGTCAACAGTAGCTCCTGAACCCCTTTCGTAAGACTAGAGCAGATTGTTTCAGAAGACTTTTTGGCTAGCTAGGATAGCCACCGACAGGTTTTAAACTTACCTTGAGGATTGGCTAACCCCCCAAAATCATGTGCGAAGTAGACCTTTTTGACTCACCTTTTTCCTCTCTCCTGCTCGTCCTCTCTTTGCCAAAAACAACACATGGAACCAAATGCCCCATCTGCATTTCGTATCCTTCTTACCTCCCCCACCCAACCAACCGTTTTATGCACTACCGTACAACCCCACCCCTGCTCCTCCTTAAAAAAAAAAAACCTGTGCTCTACTACACCTCTCATTCCCAGCAATCCCCCCACCCCACAACCCTTTACCTTGCCAAATATTTTCTACCAAGAAATCCCTCTGCACATTCCTACGGCCTCAACCCCTTGCTCTACGCACACCCTTCGACCTTTCCTCTCGCCTACTCCCTGGACCCTGTTCTCTATCTGATGTTTGCTCCTGCGCACACACACACGACCTCTGAAAAAACCACCCCAGAAGAAACTCCCTCCCCCACAATCAGTAATTAAATTCTTGTACAGCACCAATGAAAATAACCATATACACAGACACTAATGGGTTACATGAAAAACCTAGCAACTAACCCCAGAATTTTTTCATGCAGGTACCCCACGGAAGACTCCAACGTCTACCACATGGACGACTTGGCTGACGCAATTACAAGGAACAAACCAAACACATAATACATCTGCACTATCATAACAAGCTCTTTGAAAGAATCAAACCAAGAACACTATTCCAAACCCTCATCCAAAAGCACATTCCCCAAGCACTTAACTCTCTCGATCATTTCACGTTTGGATGGACATATGACAATCCTATCGCACGAGTACAATACAAGCCAGCAACAATTTTTCATAACTTTGAACTAAATAAATGGTACGAAGAACAAAAAGACAAGTGCTACTGCCAACAGCACCGCTTTGAACAATTTACCGAGACGGTAGCCGAATGACTCATGCCAGACCACATGCCCCCACATGTCATCACCATGAAAATGGATATCTTCACAAACCCCCAACTCATGACGACGATTGAAGCAGGAATGAACCACATACCCCCAACACAAAACAACCCCCATTCAATCCACCATGAATGTCACCAAGCATGGGACGAAGTAATCCAAAAACTCAGATCAGAACATGTAATCAAGCAACAACAAGTAGACGCGGCCACACGAGAATTACATGAGATTTTAACAAACAATCTAAAAAGATTCCCAAAGAACAACGCTACTAACATACACAACCATGCCATACACAAACAAATAGAATATATGACCCACAACTTCTATATAGTCGGAGTTGATAAAGCACCCAACACACCCACCATCTGCTGCATTAATCTGCTCAGATTCCTGGCACTTCAACGCCTCTCAAGACCCGACTTCACACCCACTCAACAAAGAAAAGGTGAACTCATATACTTCCTCACTCAAAAACTCACTACACGTTTTCCAACGATTCTCATAGGCAAACCTGATATACCCTATCTCTTCGCCACATACAATAACCACAAAAACAAATTCTGATGGCTTACAAATGCTGCTGATGTACTCCTCTCACCACTTGCAGATGCATGCTCTAAAATCCTGAAAAAACTTCAAGAACCCATCAAAGAACACTGTGGAAAACTCTCTGAACTCACAGTGCAAGAAAAAGGACACACAGTACCATTCTGGTGGATCACTAACTCCACAGCAGACTACATATATAATATCCCCAACAAGGAACACAACATATTTGCAGCCGACATAACCCGATGTTATGAAACCATCCCCATAGACCAATCACCAAATAGACTTCCCAATGCCATACGTTTCTTCGTCAAACTGGCATTTACTGCTGCCAAAAGAACATACGGCACCAATGCTACAGTATACTATTCTTACAGAACAAATCAAGAGTCACACACAATAGAATGCTCATGGTCTGCACATCATGACCAAACCAAATCTAATTTTTCAGCCGAAGACATAATTCAAATGAACATATGGCTTGTCAACAATGCTCACACATTGCTTGGGGATCACACATGGAGACAAACCCTTGGCATACCGATGGGTGTTAGCTGCTGCCCCATATGGTGCAACCTATACTTCTTCATGTTCGAATATAAATTTATGAAGAAACTCACACACAAAAGAAACCAGCACCTCCTACCACTCTTTGCCCACACTTTTAGATACTTTGATGACCTACATACAATCGATAACAACCAAATCACAAAATTCATGAACCCAAAAATCACAAGCCCCAGAAGCACAGACTATATATACCCACTAAAATATGTAACAATAAACGACCAAACAACATACACCCCCAGCATAGGTCACGAACCCATTGGAACGGAATGCAACTTCCTAAATATAACCATCCAAGTCACCAATGTGCAAGAAGGACTATACTCCACCCACAAATTCAATAAAAAGAACCTTCTCAACTTCAATATCATCAGACTCCTCAAATACAAATCCAACAAACCAATAATGCAATCAATAAAAATACTAATCCCACAGATAGTCACTACAATGACTATCGGAAATAACAGCATGAATGCAGCCACACAAATCCTCAAACTAATAAACATAATGACTCAAAATGGCTTTCCATCAAGCAGATGCCTCCGCCTAACAATTGACATCCTAAAACATCATGATCAATACCAACTATTCAGATGCTCAGCGCAGCAAATACTTGATCTCTTAAATGAACAAATTAGTCAACAACGTGTGTGTGGCCAGCCAAACTGACTGGCTGGTACGGATGGAGGACCTTAACCCATGAGGGGGACAGGTTCATCATCTGCACCTGATCCCCCTCATGACCCCCATCACGAGGGAACGAGGGAGGGACACACACACACACACACACACAAACACACACACTCACACACATACACACACACTCATA